GCTGTCATCCGTACGCAAGGAAGTAAGCACAAGATGCCGAACACCCTTAGCAGGATGCAGCGTGCCCTCCATACGACTCGCCGAATATCTCACGGCGCTTCGCGCTTGGTGATGTGAGAGCCTGGTCCGGTGAGANTACGTCAACCCATTCCATTCCAACAGGTTGCCCTAAAGAACGACCTGCCGAGGCCCCTGCGCGTTGCTCTCAGCCCAGAGAACGAGAATCACCCCAACACGCTCGTGCCCGTAGACGCGGAGGTCTGTCTCCCTTTCCCGCTGCTCCATGGAAAGGCAAGTGCAACATGTAGATGGCTGGCAGCAAGATGTTGCGTGCTTAGCTTTCGACAATCTTGCTCAACATTATTCCCACTGCTGTGTGCCGTACACGTCGATACGCACAAGACGTTGAGGGAGTTCTTTCAGTTTTCAACATGCATGGGGTGCTGGTATTAACATCGCAAACAAATGAATCGATACGCCCAAGATTATGGAGGCATTGGTTGTTTCGATTGTTAACATTCCATCGGATGTAGGTGCTGGAAACTCAACGGCATGGGCGGAAATATTGTGGAGAAGTTTGCGTTTTCGACTGTTGACACGCACCGGGTGTTATTTCTGGTAACACGATGAATAAGCCGACACACTCACACTTTTCCGGAGGTATGTCATTGCTTCAATTGTCAACCGTGTTGTGTATTTCTGGAAATACCGAAACGAGGATGACCCTTGCACACCCGCGAGAGCGACCATTTACCTGCCTACCCATTTTCCCCAACAGGTCCTGCGGCTGTGGAAGTCTCCACGAACCCTTGTCGGAGGCGAGGCCCTCAAGAGAGCGCTGCAGGCTGACGCGGACAGACAGGCCGGAGGCAAGAGAGGTTCTGGTGCTGTTGGCCTCGGTTCGTCGACCAGGAGCGCCGACCGGTATGGGTCCGGCGGGCGGGATGGAGCGGCATCGGAGGCGGCGGCGGTGGACGTGGCGGATGAGGTGTCGGTGGAGATCTCGCCGACTACGTTCGACCGTAACAAGAGAGTGGTGGAGAGACACTCACAGGGGTGAGGGTTAGTTTGGAGTTGTTGTTATTGTTGTTGTTGTTGTTGTTGTTGTTGTTGTTGTTGTTGTTGTTGTTGTTGTTGTTGTTGTTGTTGTTGTTGTTGTTGTTGTTGTTGTTGTTGTTGTTGTGTTGTCTACGTATGTTGTTGCGTTTGTTGTCGTCGTTGTCTATTTATTTCGCATGTTTTTTTTTTTATGAGGTCCCTTTCGTCTGGGTCTACAGGCTGGCTAATAGCCCGCTGTGTTCAGGAGGACTGTGTGTGGACTACCTGCCCTTGGTGTCTCGCTAATTGCCAAACTCGACGCGCCTTCAAGACTGAACAACGCCTTCGGCAGAACAACTAAACCCAACAACCTACGCGCTCGTGGGGACTAAAAATGAACTTCATCACGCCCCCCCCCCGCACATTACGCCGCAACAGCATGCTCTTCAACGGCGTCTCCGTCGAACGCGCGGACCTCGCCCCTACCCCCGGACTCGTCATGCACGGCTCCGGAGACGAGGCTCCGGCCCTGTGGCGGCTGTACACGCGGGCGCCGTACGTGGTTCAGAACGGCCTCGCCTGCGACGTCGTGGTGTGGGCGTCGCAGCCGCTGGCGGAGGAGGGAAACGCCACCCTGGATGCCGTGCTCGAGTCTCCCGGGCCCGCGAGCAGAGGCGACGGAGGCCTGTCTGCAAGCGCCGGGCGTAGCTTGAAGGGTGGTCTCTCGCTGAAAAAGCTCGGGTGAGAGAGATTAGCGTGCCATGTGTCCATTACGTCGTCGTGACGTGACGTAGGTTATCACCCCCCCCCCCATGGACCCCGGTGTGCCCCCTCCGGTGTTTACCATCGGTCGGGGTTGGGTTTTCGTCGCTTGGCAACGACGTTGTAAAACAAGCCAACCCCCCCGGTGTTTGCCATCGGGGTTGGGTTTTCGTCGCTTGGCAACGACGTTGTAAAACAAGCCGCCCCCCCCGGTGTTTGCCATCGGGGTTGGGTTTTCGTCGCTTGGCAACGACGTTGTAAAACAAGCCGCCCCCCCCGGTGTTTGCCATCGGGGTTGGGTTTTCGTCGCTTGGCAACGACGTTGTAAAACAAGCCGCCCCCCCCGGTGTTTGCCATCGGGGTTGGGTTTTCGTCGCTTGGCAACGACGTTGTAAAACAAGCCGCCCCCCCCGGTGTTTGCCATCGGGGTTGGGTTTTCGTCGCTTGGCAACGACGTTGTAAAACAAGCCGCCCCCCCCGGTGTTTGCCATCGGGGTTGGGTTTTCGTCGCTTGGCAACGACGTTGTAAAACAAGCCGCCCCCCCCGGTGTTTGCCATCGGGGTTGGGTTTTCGTCGCTTGGCAACGACGTTGTAAAACAAGCCGCCCCCCCCGGTGTTTGCCATCGGGGTTGGGTTTTCGTCGCTTGGCAACGACGTTGTAAAACAAGCCGCCCCCCCCGGTGTTTGCCATCGGGGTTGGGTTTTCGTCGCTTGGCAACGACGTTGTAAAACAAGCCGCCCCCCCCGGTGTTTGCCATCGGGGTTGGGTTTTCGTCGCTTGGCAACGACGTTGTAAAACAAGCCGCCCCCCCCGGTGTTTGCCATCGGGGTTGGGTTTTCGTCGCTTGGCAACGACGTTGTAAAACAAGCCAATTCACTTCGTGAACTCGGCAACCAGGTTACCGTTTTTTTTTTTTACCTCCGTTTTTTTTTTTGGCGGTAACCATAATGGTGGTCGAGTAGATCATGTTGTGCGGGGTGGAGAACCCTCACTCCGCGCAAGGGGGATGATCGCACCACGTTGTGTTAAAATGGTCAAGCACCCTCGAGGCAGTTACACAGTGCTTACAACTGTCTCTGGAAGTGAAAGCACCAGAAAATAAATTAAGTCATACGCAGCTGTCATCCGTACGCAAGGAAGTAAGCACAAGATGCCGAACACCCTTAGCAGGATGCAGCGCACCCTTCATGCGACTCGCCGAATATCTCACGGCGCTTCGCGCTTGGTGATGTGAGAGCCTGGTCCGGTGAGAACCCGGCGTGCTCCGTCCCGGCTTTGTAGG